CTTAAAATGTAGACATTTTTAGCTTAGAGTGAAGCTTCTCTCAGTTTGGGGCAACTTAGGCACGTCAAGGGCCAGAGGGAGAAAAGAGCTGGTGACAGTCCTTATCTTGGGTAATTTGTAGAGTTAGAGAATAAAAACGGCTCAGACCAGAGGGTCCAAAAACTTCCAAACCCAAACAAACCAACAGCTGTGGAGTCCATTCCAAATCTTAGCAGCCCCATAGGACAGAATAGAACTCTGCCCACCACGTTTCCGAAGCTGTAAACCTTGACAGAGCCTTGGTGGCCTGGTCTGTGGACGGTTGTGCTGCCAACCCAAAAAGCAGAGCTTCTCTATTTGAATCCACCAGTGACTCAGCAGGAGAGAGACGGGCAATCTCCTCTAGAATCGATTTACAACATCTAAAAACTCACCAGAGGATCAGCTATCAGCTGATTCCAATTTAACAGCAGTGAGTTCTGAGTTAAATCTTGTCTGGTTTTGCTGCATCTTTCATCCACAGAGAGGCTGGTGCATGCAGGCCTCTGGCCTTTCCTCTAAGAGCCCAATGCTTAACCCACCATGCTGCCAGAGCCCCTGTTATGTTGTGTACTGCCGAGTCAGAACCAACTCATGGCTGACCCTCCAGCAGGTTTTCAGAGGCAGTTAATTCTATGAAAGGAGATTTCCCAGCCTCTTCCTGTGGAGCAGCTGGTGGCCTCGAACCATGTGCCTTTGGGATTACAATGCAGCTTCTTGCCATTAGACCACCATTTAAAAATGCAGATTACTGGCCGCTCACCTCCAAGGTTTCTGATTTCATCAGGCCTGAGGCCGTCTGAGGAGCTGCATTTCTCACATGTTTCAAGGTGTTGCAGAAATTCCTGGTCCAGGATCCTATGTAACCATTAGAGTAATAGTTCAGAGGACTGCATATAGCAATATAACAAAATTCTATCATTCCAAGCCAAGTAAATGTGAATGTTACTGGGACAGCTGAGGGAAACACATCTTCCTGTGGACAGAGAGGGCTCGGAAGATCAGTCTGTGAGGACCCAGGTTCTAAAGGGAGGTAAGTGTATAAACTTCTACTGCACTTTCTGCTAACAGTCTTATTTTATTTTTATCATAAATAATAATACAGAAAGAAAAAGACTGCTCTGCCTCCCACAATGGAGGCCTCAACTTCTCATGAGGATCTGGAAAAAGCTAGAGGTTCCAGGTGGACCTCTGACAACCCCAACCCCAGAGTAAAGCTGCGATCAGTTTGCTGGCATTTGCTCCCTCCTGCTTTCTTTTTCCTGCCCCTTAAAAGCTTAAAAAGGCTATCTTCTCTGAAGAAGCTTGGTGAATATGGATGTGGTATAGGCCACTGTTTCCTGGGCCACCTTAACAGAATGAGAGTCAAAATAATCGCTTGTCAAACTCAAATTTACAGCCCCTTGGGGGGGGGGGGAACACAGCAGGTGAAAGCAGTTTTGGGAGACTGGGGTAAACAAACTGAAACAGTATCGCCTCCTCCACCCTGCGGGTCCCTTCAGACTCCAGCTTGGTGTATGTAGACAGCCCTTTCTCTCAGCCTGAGAAGAGTTTGGTGTAATTATTTCTTGCTTTGAGCTGTTTTCTTTTAGAGGGTCAGTAGGGTGTTTTTTGAGGGTACAATCAAAAGGACAGGGTTCTAGTCCTGCTTCTGTTATTTACTGATGGTGCGGCAGGGTCCCTCATTTGCCACTCTAAGCCGCGCCTAGCTAGCTTGAATTGGGAAGGGCCCCTTCCTGCCTCATATATTGGACTCTGATGAGATTTCATTTGGGGAATAAAAAACAAATACACATACACATACACACACACCCAAAAAAAAAATCTGTAAAGTTAGTATCACTATAAAAATATAGTAATCACCAGACAGGAAAATGTAGTCTGGTTGTTACAGGTACCCGACACCATAGCTTTGCTTCAATAGTTTCAAAGTCTCCCCACTCACTTACCGTGCCATTAACTCCAGCCCTTCAGTGGGGTCTGGACTCAGCAGCCTAGTCTGGCAAAGCTCTTCCTGGGTGGTCGTGCTACAGTCACCCCGGACTATTCATGCACTGTACCCCTCACTTCCCTGCCCTTATTCAGTCCCTTTTTGTACCATATGCTCATCTTATCTCTACCCCTAAATGTCCTTCCTATTCTTCCTAGCCCATCTCAAATACCTCTTCTCCACAAGCCTCCTCTGAGTCCACAGACCAGCAGTGATGGGCTTCACTGCTTCCTGTGAGTTCCGTGTGCTGCTTTCTACCCGACCCTGTCTGTTCTCACTTAACCCCACCGTGTTCTATGCAGGAGTGCAGAGAAAGAGTCTCTGAGAACAAAATGAAGGATTGGCCAATTTCTAAGGCCAGGCTTTGACTTCCTACCCAAGCCTTTATCTGACTCCATAACCCTTACCGGCGTGTAATCTGCAGGCAAGTTATTTCTTCTCTCTAGGTCTCAGTTTCCTCATCTACACAATGGAAGCTGACTCAAGAGTATCGTGGGCATAATGTGAAGGATTCATGCAAGGAAATGAGTCTGTGTCCATTTCATTTCCCTTCTCCTTCTAGTTTATATATATATATTTTTTTAATTTTTATTGTATTATTTTTATGTGTACCATCAAATCAGATCTGACTGGTACAGGAAGAGATTAGATATGTATATTTTTAATTATATATGTTTTGTTTTAAATTTTTATTATAGTGGAATATACATCCAGAATGTTTACACTGTATTTTTTTCTGAAAAGTACACATGTTCAAGACTTCAAATTTGAATAGTGAGCAAAGAGCTTATAATTAGAAGCAACTGCCTCTGTGTCACCTTTCTCCATCCTCTAAATTTTCCCATCATATAGTATTTGCATACATGTTTATTATAGAAAACTTGGAAATACTGACAAGCAATGAAAAACCCAAGTACAACATATATGAACCACTTCTCATTCTAAAATGTCTTCTTCCACATGATGTGCCATGCATATATTTTCCCTAAAAGGTCATCAATGTGTTGGGGGTTTTTTAATGTGCATTGCAGCTCTGATAATAACTACTATCAGTTAAATTAAAGGAATTATTTGTTGAGTAAAAAGTTGCTGTGAATTTTTTTCTTCTTGCTGCTTCCAGAGATTAGCAGACTCAGCATCAAAAAGAGACTTGTTAGAAATGCATCCTTGTCCCCTAGAATCTGCATCTTAACTAGACTGTGGGGATTCATGTGCACGTTACAGCTGAGAAGCTTTGTGGCAATCAGTGCCCCTCAGAGTTAAAATCCATGAGCTATTACAGTTTCGACAAGAAGCCTGAACCAGAATGTAAACAATGAGCTGCTTCCTTCATAGAGAGAAACCTGTTACAAATAGTGTCAACTGAATTAAACAACGTGATGGATGACCACAGTGATTTACATGCTGGCCGGAGGCTCCTTATCTTGTCAGGGACCATGGATATGCAGTGTGTGGGCTTGGCACCAGGTCAACCACACTTGAAGGGGGGCTGTTTAAATTGCACAGTTGGAAAGTAGCAGAGTTGAGACTAGTATGAGGTTACCTTGGCTTTATATCCAGGCCTTTCCCCCTCTGCAGAGGTACCCCTTTTACCAGCCTCTGATGGGTACAATTTACATCTAATTCTTCCCTGAGAATCAGATGCATACGCAATTCAGGAGAGCCCTGGTCCAGAAGAAGAAATTGGGATATGTCTCTAAGGTTAGAGTGAGGCCACATTTCCTTTGTCTTTGCCACATCAGGGCTCTGTCTATACTAAAAGCATTTTTCGTCAGGGCACTGTTCTCTCCCAAACCCTCCTGTCAGGACCAAGCAGTGTAGAGGACTTACAGGGCATCTGGAATGAAAAAAGCAAAGCAAAAAAGCTCTGATGGACTTGGAAGGAAACCAAGGAAAACCTCTTCTTTGCTTAGATTAAGTTCCCAAGGAAAAAAGAGCTCTCAGTCCCAGGATCCATATATAACCTAGAATTTACAAACTCCAGGCCAGAACTTCTGCCTGCAGTGACAGGTGTAGGTGAATAACCCTTCCAAGCTGGGGAAGCTGGGCCACTGAAAAGGTGCAGGGTTTGCACAGCCTAAGCCCATCTCCCCTAAATTGTTTTTCCAGTCCAATTTAGTGTCACCTTTCACAAGGATCCCAGAAAATCCTATTAATTTGGATCACAGGGTTCATTTTCACTTTAGCATTGAGAAGACTCTGTGCCTTCCACACTAAGCTCAACTTAGTTCAAAAAGTTAGGAATCTGTTTGAATCCCCATTCTATTGCTTCGTGACCTTAAGGAAGTTGCTTAACCTCTCTGAATGTTAGTTCCTTCATCCATAATATCTCATTTATTGGCACTGAGTCAGTTCAGTTCATACTGATTATTCATCGGGTTTCTGAGGCTGTAAATATTTCGCCTTTCAAGGAGATTGCCTATCTTTCTCCTTCGAAGCATCTGGTGGACACAAACTAACAAACTTTCGGTTAGCAGCCTGGTGTATTCCTTACTACATCACTTCCTTCCATAAAGTTAAGTCCCAAGAACACTGAAAGAGATTGGTTTTAAGGAACCAGATCATGAGATTGTGGGCTCTAGAATATCCAAAAACCATAGGCAGGAAACTGTGACCTCCAACAGAATTTGTTAGTCTTGAAATAGAATTCTTTCTCCTCTCCAAGACTTTAGTTTTGTTCTTAAGACCTTCAACTGATTGAATGAGGCCTACTCACATTACAGCATAATCTGCTTTACGTAAGAGCAACTGACTTAAATGTTAATCATGTGTAAATACCATCATTGCAATACCTGGACTAGTGACTAGCTACTAGCCAAGTTGACCCAGGATGTTAACTCTTGTGCTATTTGTGACTTCTGGTTGTGATTAATGAGGGTGGGAGAGGGGCGGAAGAGAGGCTGACTCCTGCTAGTAATGGAGTTGGGCCCTTCCAGGCAACTTGTGAGGGGCTCCTGTACATACTGCCTAATGCCAGTCTTTTTGTCCACAGGAATGTGTCTGCAGGCGTTCATAGAGGCTTTCTTTTACCTGGCTCAAAGGAAGTTCAAGATGCTGCCACTCCATGAGCAGGTGGCCTCGCTGATCGACCTGTGTGAATACCACCTCTCCCTGCTGGATGAGAAACGCCTGATGTACGGCCGGAGTGGCACCTCGGGGTGCCGTCCTCCCTGCAGCAGCACCCCCCAGGAAGCTGCCCCTTCAGCTCAGCTGTCTGAGGGCACCTCCCCACCTCAACCCAGCAGTGCCAATAAGCTCTCCCAGCCCAAACACGTCTCCTGAGGGGCCTCGCCATCCTGGAAGGAGAAAGCCCCCCCCCCCCGCAGGGTTTCCAGGAACCTCTGAGCTTCCTGCCTGTGGAGAAGAGACTGGCCTTGAGGATTCCTGCCCTAGAGTCCTGTTGATCTTCTCCAGGTCCTGATTTCAAAGACCGTTTGATTCTCACTGCCTTCCTCCTCTAGGCACCTCTGGACGAGCCACCCCACCTGTGATTCCCCAGTGGACACTGGTGTCCAGAATGTGACAGATGGGCTCCCAGGAAGCATCTGTGGGGTTCTGTTCTGTTCAGGACACCCGCAATCCAGAGCCTGCAAGTTGTGGAGAGGGAAGAGCTCCTGGGAGGGCAATCCTGGGTGTGTCTGGCCTCCGAGAGTCTGCAGTGGGAGCCTGGGAATGTCGTGTTCACTTCCTTCCACTCTTCCTGTGAAAATGAGGTGGAAATGTCGAGTAGGCGTGTGCTGATCTCCCAACCTAATCCTGTGCTACTCGGGCGGAGGTGGCCGATTAGCCTCATTTACTTCATTAGTTTGCCTCATTGCGGCAATATTATTTGTTATTAATTAAGAAAGAATTTATTAAGGAGTACCTAAGACAAGTTCCTTGTGTCTCTGGAACTGGCAGGATCCTCAGAGGTTTTTGGATTTTGTTGAACTTTGACCCCAAAGTAGGGATCTTCTCTCCAGCCTGCCTGTCCTGGGGTCACATGCCCTCTGAATGGACATGTGATAGATGAGGTGCTCAGTCCATCGCAAGCAGGTTCACACAGCACTACCAGGGGACTTGGGCCTGCTCGGGACTGAGCTGGATGTGCCAGACTGCTGAGAAGAGGGAAAGGGAGTAAATTCAGGTCAAAATCCCAGGGGTTAGACTTGATGAGAGGAGAAAGGGAGCCATGGTCTTTCGTCCAAGAGACCTTTTCCTTGTCTCTGTCTTTGTCCCCAGGAAAACTTTTTAGGCTTCTCAGAAGGGAAACCCTGGAGGCAGCTGAAGGTGACACTTTGCAGGCAAGCCAGGGTCCAGGGTCCATGGATGACAAGGCAAGTAGGAGATGGTTCCGGTCAAGCCAAACCCTGCAGATTCTGTTTCAGTTTTGAGGTTAACATAGTCATTTCTCAGAAGGTGCTCTTGAAAGGACTCTGAAGTCCTGGACAGAGCTGAGCATTACATTCAGAGAGAAGATGAGGAAGAGTATTTGAGGACACTGGGAACTCCCAGGACTCAGAAAATGCTCGCAAATGTGGGGCAAGGGAGTGGGCTATGGCAGGATGGAAATTTGTCCAAGACAAGTGACAGTTCTATTTCTTCTTCCTAGCATGCTTTACCATCTCCAAGTGCAAACCACTGGTGGGCCCGACCATCCTGTCCGCCACAGCCAGGTGGGGACCTCCAGTGCCCCCTCTGCCACACAGTGTGCTGGCGTGGTCCACTCTGTGGTGACGCTGACCCTGCCCCTTTAGTCCTCTCTGCCACAGCAAATGGATTTCACAGACAAGGACCAAGCCAACGGGTCCTGGCTCATCGGTCCCCAGCTACGTGTTTCAAACAAAACTCTAACTTTACACCATTTCTTGAAGTATGTTTTCAGAAGGCTGTCAAACACCAAAATGAAACACAACACTCCAATCTAAAACCCACCAAACACACTTGGGATTTTGTTTTGTTTTATTTTTTAAATGCTGTCAATACATAGAATCCCATCTGTGTAGCTGGGGCAATATGCAGCTTCAGCTCTCAGGTAGGGAACATCCTCTCTCACCCCGGGGAAGTCACTGTGAACGAGGGCGTCCCTTCTCCTAGGAGGACCTCTTCCTCTGTAGACTAGGACCGAGTGAGCCCCACCCCCAGCAGCCCTGAAGCTACATACTCAGCACTGAGTGTTAGGACAACGAGGCTGCCATTTTTCCAGAGGCCATGATGTGACAAATTGGGCTCTCTCTTTTTTTTTTTTTCTCATAAGACCATTAAACAGGAAGAATTTAGAGGCTGCTCCACTACCAGCCGAGTGAAAGGAGGCTTCTCCCTCTGCTAACAGGCAGTCTTTAGTGTTTACCTTCTTTGGTGACTGCCACCTCATTTGACAGGATATAACTGAAGTGATAGCAGAAGTAGAAATATCTTTCCTTCTAGAACACAGCAAAGGAGCCCAGAGCCCGGCTCCCTGTTGTGCCAGTATCCTTTTGCTCTGCCTGTGGGATAAAACCATTCCTTAGGAAGACCAAGGGCACACCCAGCCTCCTCTCCCACTCTCTCCTGCTCTTGCTCCCTTTCCCACTGAAGCACATCCCATCTCACTAGATCTAGAGCAGGCTACAACTTCACACCTCTGTGCCTTTGCACATTCTTTCTTTTTTTCCAATTTTCACACGCTTTTTATCTATCTTATGCAATGTTCTTTGCCTTCTTCTTTGTCTGTTTAATCTCAGCAACCATGGGCTGTTGTCCCCTGTTCTGAGGACACCAGCTCCCCAGGGCCAGGTCTGCCTCTCTTTCCTCCTGTCAGCAGCCCACTATGGCTGGCACTGCAATAGCCCAAACCACACAGTTCTCTGATCTGTCCACACAGTGTGTACCTATCCCCTTGGGCTGGATGCCAGGAGGGCTGAACCCACCAGGGTTGGATGAATGGACAAGAAGAACAGTCTCTGGCTTTTCTGTATGGAGCATGTATATCAAAAGTTGGTGGGACCAGGCAAGGGAGGGCAATGTCTTCCAGAGGACAGAGAACATCAGCAGAACTGGCCCACTGGCCCCAACCCACCCTTTCCTGCCATGCTCATCTTGCCTCTAGTGTGCACTTGAACAACTTCCTTCCACATGGACCTTGTCTATGTCTTTCCTTCTGTCTGATATGCTCAGCATTCCCTCTGTTGTGAGGGAAGGTTTTTTGTCCCCAGGGGGCTCGCCAGAATGGAGCCTGCAACCAGTCCTTATAAAGACGTTCTGGGTTCAGTGCAGTCGTATCAAGGGCTGTGCTCAGAGGCTCCTCCCCAAATGCAGAGGAGGGACTCAAGGAGGCGTAAGCCACAGTCTTCCTGGATACCTCTTCTTTCTCCTCGAGGCCTCTGCCCAGTCTCCTTGGTTCAAATGCATCACCTCTCGCTTGGACTTCATCATTCTCCCTGCCACTCAACTGCCCCCAAGCCACCTTCCATCCCTGTCCACTTAGAAGAAGCTGAAGACCCACAGAGCTAACCACACCATCTCCTGCTTAATCCAAAGCTTGTCCCTTCTCAGAGCCCCTTATAATTGAGCCTCTTTTCTCTCTACCCTAAAAACAACATCCAGATCTATATACCTCCAAATAGTCTCTGTTCTCCCTGCACCTTCCCCAGGACCTCTGATCCTGTAGTTCTTTGTATCTGTCATTATTGTACTTTTAAGCCTCGTCCCACTCTGCACTGACTTGAATGACATTTGTCCAGTGACAACTTTATCTTTCAAAGTCTAGCTCCAATGCCCTTTCTATAGCCACCCAAACAGAATGAGTCACTCTAAGAGCCTAAAAAGTTCCTTGATCAGCACACTGACAGCCAATAGTATCACAGCATTTTCTCCCACCAGACTGTTAGCTTTCCTCGAGACAGTTGTGTCAACTGCTCCAGAGCTGGGCCCGCATGTGCCTGTTAAGAGAATACAGATGTCGTGTAGGATAGGAGGCAGTGTTACAGGTCTGCTTCTCTGCTTAGTCTGCGGATGCCCTTACAGGTCACAGGTTTCTAAACATAGCCCAATTCACTCAGTAACTCTATGTCCCGAGCTGGCTCATTCTTTCCCCAGGGCACCTCAGCCATCCCATGACACTAAGTAGACAATGGCTTCCTCTGACCCAAAAGTGGCTCATTGCTCCATGTTTCTCAGTGTCAGAGTTTAGGTACTTGTGCCCTCCTAGAAAACCCTTTCCCATTCAGCCATGGAAACCAGGACTGCACCTCAATTTGTCCTGCCCAGCCTGTCTCCTCAATGCTATATTGCCTGCATTTTGGCAGGTGATTTAATTTAAAGGGAGTAACTACATTGGGAAAGTCTGCTGTCAGAGACCTCTCCAAAGTACTGAAGAGCAACAGTGTCAGTCTGGAGACTAAAGTGTGCCTGATACAGGCCATAGTCTTTGCAATGACTTGATATGCATCAGAAAGCTGGACAATGACTAGGGATGATAGAAGGAGAATTGATGCCTTTGAGCTGTGGTGCTGGAGAAGAATATTGAATATACCATGTACTGCTAAGAGAACAAACAGGTTCTTCCTAGAGAAGGTGAAGCCAGGATGCTCCTTGGATGCAAGGATTCTGAAGCTCTGCCTGACATACTGTGGACATGTTGCAAGGCAGGACCAGTTCTTGGAGAGGGTGGAGGGACAGCACAAGAGAGGAAGACTGTTGATGAGATGGATTGATTCAGTGACTGCGGTAACGGGGGTAGGTGTGTCAGAGACAGTAAGATCGGCACAAGATAGAGCAGGTTTTAGGGCTATTTACATAGGGTCACTATGAGTCACAGGTGACTGAACTACACATAACAACAACAACAATCCTGTACACGTGGGTATAGGGTGGGAGTGGTGGGGTTAGGAATAGACCAGGTTGAGAAGGTGCCCAGACTTTGGCAGTGGTGTTCCATGCCTTTCTAGAATTAACTCTCTTTCTCACATGAATCTGCAACATCTATTCAATGCTTCACAGTTTATAAAATACATTCACATGCTTCCTCCCGTCCTCCCAGCAACCTGGTGCAGGGTGAGGATTTTCACATCACCCTTCTTTCACAGATGGAGGAGCTGATGCTCATGAGGTGAAATGACTTGTCCAAGGTCTTACAATAGAAGAAAGACCACACTAGAACTCGCATCCAGGCCCCTAGCTCCACATCTCATGTTCCTTCCTTGGTCCTATAACGACTTTCTATGGCGCCTCAATGCGTTCAGCAACCCAGTTGGGAGAAAGTTTTGTCCCTCCTTTACAGACATGGACATTCACATCTCAAAAAGGCACTGGTTGGTTGGTAT